GCGGGGGCCGCCCGGGGCTCCCCAGCTCCTCCAGCTGCCTGCTCCGCCCACCGCCCCCCAGTCCCTTCCCCTCGGGCAAGACGCCGGCCTGCGGCCTCAGCCCTGCGGGGGTGCACGGGCCCACCGGGCCGGGCGAAACAGCCAAAGGGGAGCCCCAGGGCGCAGCAGACCCCGCCTGTCCCCCGCTGCTCCCCCGAGCAGTGGACTTCATCATCTACCTGTCATGCTCCCCGCTCTGTCTCTGGGGAGTCCTCTTGCACCTCTGGCCTGCACCCCAGCTCTGTCTGCGCCCATAAATAAATCTTTAAAAACATAGTAAGGGCGGAGTCCACACGCATGGACGGGGAGGCCCCAGCGGACCCCCCGACTGCAGCATCGGCACCCGCCGCCCGCCGGCGCGCCCAGTGACTCCGCGGCTCTGCCCAGACTGGGCAGCCGTGGGCTCGCCAGCGTCCACGCGACGCTGGACGCCAGCGTGAGGGATGTAGTTACCACGTCCTCGGGCGGGACGGACGCAGCCGGCCCCCGCCTCCTGGGCCCCCCCACCCGGCGTCTCCCCACGCAGAAACGGCGCTGGAGTGGCCAGCATGTGGACGTGGCTGGAGGGGGCAGAGGCCGGGGACACCGGACGCCCAACGCGGCAGGTCCACGCTGGCCCACCGGGCTCGGCCCGGACCTCGTCAGCCCGCGCAGTCGGCCTGGGCGTGGCCGGCGGCGGGAGGCCGGGCCGCGGGGACCCAGGGCCGGGGAGAGCCCCCAGCGCTCCATTTCCAGACAATAAAAGAGGAAGCGGTTTCAGCAGACACGCGGCAGACGTTGTTTTTGAAGAACAGGAAGACGTGGGGGACAAGTGGCCAGAATTCCCGGAAGGGAAACAGATAGACGCTGGGGGCGAGGCAAGCCGGGGGCAGCAGCCCAGGACGGGCTGGCCGGAGAGCCGCTGCGGGCCTGGCCTTGTTGGGGGAAGGACCCTGAAGGAACTCGGGAGAGTCTGGCGGACGCTGCCCCTGCTCCAGGGACTGGAAACTACAACTCCCAGCAGCACCCGGGAGAGAGCTGCGAGGACCCAGGGCGGAGCCAGCAGGAATTCTGGGACATTGGGGGATACATAGGGGCCATTTTGTTAAGGGGAAGGACGTCCTGAAGGAACTCTGGGGAGTCCTGTGGACTCCGCCCCCTGCTCCAGGGACTGGAAACTACAACTCCCAGCAGCACCCGGGAGAGAGCTGCAAGGACCCCAGGGCGGAGCCAGCAGGAATTCTGGGACATTGGGGGGGATACATAGGGGCCATGGCGTCTCTCACTCTCTTGCTCGGGAACTGGCTCTCCAGGCTGTGTGATCGGTGTGTTCAGTCAGCTGAGCCCTAAGGTGTTCCAGTGACTCTGTGTCCCACTCTCTCTCCCTGGGTTGTCCCTGTTCCTGTCCCCTTTTGTACATAAACCCGTTACTGACCCTCTGTGTGTCCCTGCAGTGTAACTGAGTTGTGAGCCTGGGCGAGGCCCACGGACAGGCGCCCAGTCCACTCTGGGCTGCCCTGGAACAACCTGAAGCCCCCGGGGCGGCCACGACCTGGCAGAGAGGAGCGACGCGGGGGGCTCTCGGGGCCGCGGGAGCAAAGTCACCGCCCTGGGGAGGAGGGCGGGAAGCGCCCGGACACGGCGGCGACCTCCGAGGACCAGCGACGTGCAAAGGGCCTGGACACGGCACTGGCCGTGCACGCCAAGCGGAAAGGAGAACACGGAGGACGCAGGCATCTGCCGGAACTAGAAGGCCCAAGCGTGGGGTCGGGGGAGACATTCTGCGGGCGGGGGCCAGGGGGCGGGATCGGGGGGCGGTGACCGCTGGGGGGAAGGCGGGCGGGAGCCCCGGGGGTGACAGCCGAGGTGGGGAAACGCAGAAATGGAAAAAGACAGAAAAAATACATATATATGCACGTAGGTGTAAATGGACAAGAGAAAGCTGAAATCTTAAGAGGCCAAACAAGCCCCCCCGGGGGCTCATGGGTTGGGGTGCAGCCGGCCACAGCCGCTTCAGCCCGAGTTGGATCCCCGCCTGCCCCGGAGGTGACCCCAGGGCGCGGCAGACCCCTCCTGTCCCCCCACTGCTCCCCTAGCCGTGGGCTTCGTCCATCTGCCTGTCTGTCCTGTGCCCCGCTCTGTCTCTGGGGAGTCCTGTCACCCCTGCCCCTCTGGCCTGTACCCCAGTTTCTGTGAGCACCAATAAATAAAAATCTTTTAAAAAACAGGCAAAGCAAACACCCCAACACACCAGCGGAGGCAGCTCGGCGTGAACGCCTGCCCTGGAAGCAGCGAGGTCTGGGTACTGTCCGAGGCGCCCTGGGCAGACACACGGGCGGAAGCGGCCCCCTGGGGCCCCACAGCGTGGGGCTGGACGGGCGGAGGGGGGCGCCCATGCCCGGCAGGGCCGGGGCTGCAGGCGGGCACCCGGCCAGGCTTCCCAGCCTCAGCCAGGGACGCGACCGGGGCCCTCACTACGGCCCGTGAACCGGAGAGACGCCCCTTCCCGTCGGGGGTACAGACCTGCGCCCACACTGTGCCGCCGGCCAGCCAGGCCCATGCCACACGGCAGGAGGGGCCGGTCAGCGCACAGGGGCCGGTCTGCATGCAGGGGCCGGTCAGCGTGCAGGGGCTGGTCAGCACTGAGAGGCCGGTCAGCGCTCATGGGCCGGTCAGCGTGCAGGGGCCGGTCAGCGCTCATGGGCTGGTCAGTGCTCATGGGCTGGTCAGCATAGAGGGGCAGGTCAACACGCAGGGGCTGGTCAGCATAGAGGAGCCGGTCAGCACGCAGGGGCCGCTCAGCACTCATGGGCCGGTCAGCATAGAGGGGCCGGTCAGCACAGAGGGGCCGGTCAGCGCTCATGGGCTGGTCAGCGCACAGGAGCCGGTCAGCACACAGGGGCCGGTCACCACCGAGGGGCCGGTCAGCATGCAGGGGCCCCTCAGCGCTCAAGGGCCGATCAATGCTCAGGGGCTGGTCAGCACCGAGGGGCCGGTCAGCACCGAGGGGCCGGTCAGCACGCAGGGGCCCCTCAGCACTCATGGACCGATCAGCATAGAGGGGCAGGTCAGCACGCAGGGGCTGGTCAGCATAGAGGGACCGGTCGGTGCACAGGGGCCGGTCAGCGCGCAGGGGCCGGTCAGCACCAAGGGGCCGGTCAGCACGCAGGGGCCGGTCAGCACGCAGGGGCTGGTCAGCACGCAGGGGCCCCTCAGCGCTCATGGGCCGATCAGTGCTCAGGGGCCGGTCAGCACCGAGGGGCCGTGCACAGCCACTGGGCTCACGGCAGAGCCACAGGCCGGCCACGGCGGTGGCTCCAGCTTCCTCCTGCGCCGCCGGCCCCCGCTCACCACACTGGTGCCACTGCCCAGCCCAGAGCCGCTGCTGGCCTGGGGCAGGGAGCTGGGCACCGCGCGGCC